ACAGACACACTCACAGGCTTCGAGGTTCACTTATGACGGTAACTAACCAAGTCACTTTGTGCCTCATCAAAGAGGCCAGATGTAGAGTAGATATACCACTTTTTAAGGATTTGACCGTGAGTTTTCTTGACTTGTTAGCTTTGATTTTGTTGGGACGATGATACCCTCGATGCTCTAATGATGTCCGTCACATGACGGACGAATGCTTAGCACCTTTCGATCGGAATCGAGTGAGATTGCCTCGGAAACAGCGTCAGCATGAATGTTCCAGTAATGCCAATCGACAGCTGGTCAAGAGGAATCCACCGTCCTCTGCTGGTGAGACCGAGCTTCGAATCTCTTCAACCGACACTTTAACTCGAAATGGAAGTAAACTCAACAAACTCATTCGATTCCAGTGAAAAGGTGCTAAGCTTTCGTCCGTCGAAATGGAAGTAAGCTCAACAATTCTGAAACAATAGATTCCTCGTAACCCAACTTTTCTTTACTCTAGCCCTATTAAGGTTTTCAATTTTCTTCTGGCTTAATTGAGTCTTGTTAAGAGGTAAGGTGGACCTGGGAAGTCTTCTTGACTTGGTGTTTGTTAACATGAGACCGAGCTCTTACGATGTCCATCGAATGATGTACGAAAGCTCAGCCAGTTTTCACCCGAAACGAGGGAGCAAGTCTCGTGGACTGCGTCAACCTGAACGTCACATAACAGCCAAACGGCTACAGAACAACGCGATTCATCTGTCCTCTTCTGGTGAGATGAACGTACAAATCTCGCCTTCATGCAGAGGAATCAGCGAAACCCAGTTTTTCTTCGTGTGTTTTTATTGTCAGCCCCACCACTTGGTAACGCTTTCTTTTCTTCTTCTCTCTCCATTTCGGTGCCTCCATCTCTGGAGTTGTTGAGGCCAAGCGTTTGATATTTTATAGACATTCCACATTCTTATTTGGGACACAACATACCTTTCCAATGGAAATGAGACACATGGCAACATGGCCTCTGGATAGCGACAAACAATTGTCGAGAGGCCAGATCACTTGTTGCCGGGCTGCATGTTCCAGCCCCACGGAATCGCATTAGCACCCCGTTGGTTACTTGCATCCTCCAGATCACACGCAAACAGGTCGCCATTGGACCGAGACTCGCCTCTTTCAACTGTAGACAGGCCGAACCGTCAGTTTGGCCGTCTCGGGAGGTATCCACACTTTAGCCCGTCACATGTTCACCGTCCACCCGACACGGGCGTCATGTGCGCTTAACCTGCTTCGAGGCTTCTGGCCAGTCGTCACGGTTGCTAAGAGCGATGTTGTTCTATTCCTTTTGGGACAGTGAGAAGAGCAGTCTCGGCACAACCAATCGTCGCTCCGGACGCCGAGAATGACAAGACAACCCAACCGGCCAACTACCGCCCGCCTCTGTCGCATCGACTCTTCCAGTTGACCCGTCGGCCATCTGCCCTTCTGGAGGCTCTCTCGAAGCGGTCTTCTGTGCCGGCTGACCCTCTGAAGAGTATGCGTCGGAAAAGACACAGGCACCAGAATGCCACCAGACACGACGACCGTCCAAGGCATTCCAGAAAGTGCGGCACCATCAAAGACAGACACCTGCTCGTTCCGGCTTGCGAAAAGTGCCTGGCGCCGAATAAGGTGAGCTCATCTTTCAGCATCATTTATTTTACGACATGGGATTATGTGAATTGAGATACCATTCAATGGAGGGCGTTTTCATTTCAACAGAAATAGGGCTTGCTCTTGTCTGGGTCGCAAGAAGAGGGGGAGCAGATAGTATCCAGACATGAGCGTGAAAGCATATTTAGTTGTTAGGGGGAACTTCATTTCGTATGAAAGCGAATGAAGCAGAGATTCGCCGGTTGATTTGACCAGATGAGGACGGATGAATCTCGTGGTACCATCTCCATGTTGACGCAGT